TTCGATCGGGAAAACGCCTTTGGTATTCTTCAACAGCAGCACGTGCATTGCGACCGCAAAATCCACACACAAAATGCATATCACAATATTCCACGTGTGAAAACACAAGAGGCATTTCAGCAACTCATCACACAACTAATTTACCACCCATTCACGACCCCGCCGCAACGTAAACTGTAGGTTGTGCATGAGATCACGGCGAGTGTGACACCACCACACACAAGTACAAACAGATAACAGTCACAGCTGACTGTCCACAGTGCGTGGACCTGCAAGAAGACCACACTTTTCTCGGGCCATTATCTCCGTAACCGTTCAACTTTGGACATAGGTGTTTTGGGTTATATCGGCATACTTTAACATAAGGAACACCCTCCCGAAGTTTGGCACATTCCTCCTGGGACACCCTGTATTTAATTTGGCCCTTTGTCTAGAGACAGTGATGCTTAATAAGTAAAGAATAAGTTGTCAAAGGAACTTACATCAAGGAACAAGTGAAGGATGAATGCAATAATGCCGGCTATGAAATATACCTCCTCCATCTGGAACAAAAACCAGTACAAGAGATGTATAAGGATTAATTGTATTGGGAACTCATCTACTGATCAAGTGACTAAGTTTCTGAAAGATACCTTTCAAATATATCGAAATTTATTATTTTCCAAATCCCTTCAAGGAAATTTGAACGAATCTCTCTCTCAGAAAACATTTCAAAACATAATTTAGCCAAAATTGTTATTCTTTGTAGGGAGCTACTTAGAGACAAGCTAGAGGTTATGCATAAATTATTGCTTTTCTGAAACTTACGGTCAAAGTTTCCTTAACAATTCCACGAATATAATCATTGATACCTGAAAAATAATAAATAAAACGACATGAGAATGCTACACAGATGCACATTTACACTCCAAATATCTCAATTGTTACAGAAATGCCAATTTCTTCTCTTTCAAAAGAGCAGGGCAAGCCCGGGTAATTTCACAGCATGGCAACCCCTTAAAACACACAACGTTATTTCACTGTCTGTTTAGATCAGTGCAATTAAAATTAACTACACGTACTGCCTCCCGAATACACGAAAAATCGGGTAATTCACAAAAGCCAGCATAAACTCTCTCAAATATAGAGCAGGCGTGGGGCGAACGGTGGAATGAGAACTGGTAGGAGAAACTGGAGCACAAAGAGAAAACCCTGCCCAGTGCCACTTTGTCCGTCACAAATATTAAGAGGCATTTTCTGAGATGGAACCCAGTGAAAGAAGATGGGTGAGCTACTAACCACCTGTGCTACTCCACGGTCTACTCTAACCCATATACATAATATCAAATTATGTATGTTAGGAACTGTGGAACCATTGTATTGACGCCTAGAATTACAGTATTAACAGCGTGCTTCCATCTACTGATAGTCTCACTGGTGAAAGGGGATATCGTATCTGTGGGTTATGAATCACACAACAATACGCACATGTTACACATTAAATGTAACTTGACTATCAGGACGGGACATTCGCCACTTCAATGGAAAGTCACGCAGGTCACATGATTCCGGAATCTCGTAGACCGCGGCGGAAGCCAGCTCATATAGACCTATGAGCCTACTCCCAGTAAAGAACAGACTCCTCGAAAGAGCAGTACTCAAGAGATTACGCCAGGTAGTAGAAGAAACCCAACACCTCCCAGACAGAAACACTCTACCATAGAACAAGTATACTCCGAATTGCACAGATAATAAGAGGAACTGACTGCTATGCGGCGTTCCCAGACATCACACAAGCGTATGATAAAGTATGGCACCCAGGCCTCTTGTTCAGTATCAGAGAAACCTTCCCTATGCAGACTACTGAATATTGGAATCACATCTGAAGGGGCCCATACACGTACGAGTCTGGCTCGCGAGCCCGACTCGTCCGTGTTTCTGTCGCAAAGTTGGGAGTCAGCTCATCCACTTATGGTGAAATTCATCAGAGTCAAGCTCACCGAGCCAGACTCATACGTGAATGGGTCCCTTAACGGATAGACCCTCTCAAGTAAAATTCAAAGACGAAACCAAAAACTTAAGTAAAACAAAAGCAGACATACCACAAGGAAGTGTCTCAGGACCTGTCCTATATCTTATCCACGCAAGCGACCTCTTTACATCAGACAACACAACTGCTACCTTCACGGATGTTACAGCAATCTTAGACACACATGAAGGTCCAGCAATAGCCTCAATGAAACTCCAAGCCACCGTGAATAAACTTGATTAGGCGAAGAAATGGAGAATTAAAATAAATTGAAGCAAATCTACGCAAATTACATTCATCCTACGCAACCAAACCTGTCTGACAGTGAAAATAGACCATGTTGAACCACCCAAGAAAGAAGTGAAATGAGATGGGCAAAGCATGTCAAAACCAAAAGAAAACAGCTCAACCATCGAACTCGTCCAGTGCTTTCAATCCAAGACCTCCGACCTATTGGAACGCACCTTGCTACGTAAACAACCACAGGATCCATGAAGGTCTCCAAATGAAAACAGTGCTCCGTAAAATAAAAAAGTGGAATACCAGATTCTTAAGAAAATTAGAAAAGCACACAAATGCACTAGCAGCAAAAATGTTAGACAATAGCGAAACTACACAGACTCAGAAGACACACCGTCCTAACTCTACAAGAGAGGCCTGAGTAAAACCCCAATACAAGCATTCAAATCATATCTAATTGAAAACAAAAATGAGTATCACTTATGCCACTGGGCATAACTCATTCACGAGCCAGTACTTACTGCAGATATATATTTATAGCACTCTGCAGATTATGTATAATAAAGGTGTGAAAAAGATCAGATATTGGATCGGGAATAAAGGACTTCACAGCTACTATATATGTACATTATTATATTATCTAGTATACATGTAAACCTGCAAACAATCAGAATATACTGACAATAGACGGTCAATGACTTTGACAAATGTGAGATCTGTCCTCTCGTCAGAGAGGCCGACCCATATCGAAATAACCGTAACTGTCTGTTAAGTAACTAAGACTTGGTCATGAACCCCAAAGGGGGTCAGAAACCAAAACGAATGGACTGACCGTTCATTGGTCGCGATGTGACTTGACTTTGATATTACCTCGCAATGACCAGTGAAGACTATAACAATCTGCTATGTTTTTGTGCTTGCCGTATTTATTTGTAGTGTGTGTAAATTATAATCATTTGTAGTTACGAGTCATAACTGTACAGTAAATAAAGTAATCAATCCAAACCCAGTATCTAGTCACTAACATGTGAAAATATTTTACTTACCTGCCACAAACAGGGTGCCTGCCGAAACTACAAACCAAATCTGGAACAGAAGTTCGTAAGAAAACATTTCTGCCTGAAACAATGTATGGAAAAAAATAGATTTATCTTTTATTACACTAACAACAAAGAAATCTACAAACTAGCAAGACTAAAAAACAAAACAATTGTAGAACCTCCATGAAAGGCCAAAGGGATCCCACAGTGCATGCGACGCCGACAATATGGTCATACAAGATCATATTGTAACAAACCATTATGTATGTGTAAAATGTGATCGGTCGCACAGCACACAGAGCTGCAAAAATCAAAAAACACGCCTGCAAAATGTGTAGTCGGAGGAGGTCCATATCAGGCTAATTACAGAGTATGTGAATATTGTTACAGTTTATTGAAACAACCAAATAACACTAACAATAGACTAACATTCAACACAACGCACTAACCCAAAGTCAACCAGCTCAGTTACAACTAGGAATCAGTTATTCAGAACCACTTAAAGGGAAGAGAAACCAAGAACAAAACATCACATACTTAGGAGAAGCAAGGGAAAATACTAACAACAAAAATACAACTAATTTAACCAAATTTCTTGAAGAATTTAAAGCAATCTTCCAACAACTCACCCAACAAGACAGCATGATATTAAACATGCTATCAACGTTAATATCTCAAATCCATTAAATTCCTTGGAATTGCACCATGGATCGCCAACTGCCTTCTCGAGCAAAAAAATGAACTAGAGATATTCCTTCAACACAACATCACAGACATTATGCTGATAAGTGAAACTCATTTCCCTGATAGATCTTACTTCAATATACCAAAGTATTTAACATACTCCACTAACCATCCCGACACTACAGCACATGGAGGAACTGTTATATTAATAAAAAGAGCGTAACCGTCCATTCTGACTGGAGGAGTGTTGTGTGAAAATTAAATTTTGTATTAAGTTAAGATTAACAATATTACAAACAAAGAGATCCGGCAGATAGCCAGCTCTTACACGCGGAAGGGACATAGTTCAAGTTTTGCTATGTGAACAGGAAGTAACATCTGGTACTTTCCTGGAATTCTGGCAGTTTCAGCAACGTCGGAAAGGCTTTGAGAAAATGAGAGCTGACAGCTTGGGACAGCAATAACTTAGAAGTGGGACGGCCGGAGCCTCACACCCTGACTGTAATGCATCAAGGGGCTGTCACCCTTAGCGTCAGGTCAGCATCTGCCAGAATCACATAGCAGAGCAACATGATTGGTAATTCAAAATTTAGGGAACCTCCTAGTTTGAAAATTTAACCAATGGCAGAAGTGTAGGAGTGGATTTCTCTTGGAGTCTGGGGTTCGTGGACCTCAGAATTCAGAGAGAGGGCATTCCACCTCGAAAAGTCTTGACACTTCTTTCGGCAAAGTCGGACACTAAATTTACCACTACGGCCCTTCCGTAGAATAGTATAAGTACAGTACAAAGCAACAGTAGTAAGAAATTCAGTTGTATTCAGAAAGCCGGAAGGTATTAAAGGACTACCAAGTGCAACCGTCGAAAGGTGGGTGTTTGTAGTGAAGTGTTCTTCCTGCCCTGTCCGAGCCAGACCCTTATAAGACCCTGGGATAGGAACCCAGCCCTACTCATTAAAGTAAAGAACCCAAAGAAGTGAGCGGTGGTGGAGTGGCACACAACGAAAAGGGCACAACCGAAGTGAGCGGTTACAAGAGCTATTAACCATTATGAGCTCCCCAACTACAAATTAAATCACCTACAGGCCACAGTGATAACAGTAAAGATGACCCAATACGAGTTAACTGTTGCTGCAGTTTACTGTCCACCAAAACATATCATCAAAAACGCGAATTTCAACGATTTCTTTCAAACGCTGGGACACAAAATTGTAGCAGGCGGAGATTATAATGGCAAGAACACCTTATGGGGATCTGGCCTAAAAACGATCAGAGGCAGAGAATTATCACAAACATTACAACAGCAAAAATATTTGCACTTGTAAACAAGCACGCCGACATACTGGCCAACAGATCCCAACAGAACCCCTGACCTCTTGGACTTCTTCGTTACTAATGGAATCTCTTCAGATTACATGTATGTGGTACGCAGTCTCGATCTCTCTTCAGATCACACACCAATTATACCCACTGACAGTAGTCATAATATTCACAAAACACCAAGAAGTAAACTGAACAACAACAACAAAATACAGGATGACACTACAAGAAGATATAAATCTAAATGTGAGACTTAAGAGGGCAATGGAAATTGACAGCACACTAACCTCTCTAATCAACACTATAAAACAGGCAACCCAAGATGCTACATCTAACATCACCTTCCAAAATAACACAAGAAATGTTCCAATTGAAATTAAAAAACTCATAGCTCAGAAAAGAAGAGCAAGTTCAAGGTGGCATAGAAGTCAAGCACCAATAGATAAAACAACATATAACCATATAAGTAATAGGCTGAAGTGTAAAATAAAAGAGGCAGGAGAAAGATCCTTCTCTAAAAATACAACCAGCCTTAACAGACATGACAATACCATCTCGAAAACCAAGACACAGATACATCCTATAAGAAATGAAATGGCGCCGCAAACATTGTGGGCAAGAAGTGAAGAAGAAAAAGCACCTATGTTTGCTGAACATTTTGCCACAGGTTTTACACCATACTGACAAAGAAATAGAAAGACAGATATCTGAAAATATCAGCATTATACCAGAAATAAAATTTTTTTACAGTTAAAGAAGTGCAAAAGGTAATAGCTTTCCTAAATTCAAGAAAAGCATCTGGCATTGTCGAAGTGACCCCATATTGTTAAAAGAATGTCAAGGAAAGGGTTAATACTTCTCACATATATATTTAATGCTGTTCTCAAATATAAATACTGGCCAAATCAGCTAAAAACAGCAGAAATAATCCTGATCTCCAAACCAGGCAAAAATCTTAATAGTGTGTCATCCTATACTCCTATAAGTTTATTACCCATCATATCTAAGCTCCTCGAAAGACTTCTCATAAAAAGAACAGGGTCTGACCCAAACACAGAAGAGTGGATACACCATCAATTTGGTTTTAGAGAAAACCACTCCACTGTACAGAAGATACATAGAATAACACACAAAATACACAAAGCATTAGAAAATAAAGAATACTGCATATCGGTCTTCCTCGATGCAAATCAAGCCTTTGATAAGGTATGGTATCCAGGACTACTGTACAAAATCAAGAAATATCTGCCCATCACTTATTTCCACTTGCTAAAATCCTATATAAATGGCAGAGAGTTCAGAACGAGAATCAATGATACTATATCTAACAATTTCGCAATAAAATCAGATGTGCCACAAGGCAGTGTCTTAGGACCACTACTTTATTTACTGTATACAGCAGACCTACCAGTCAATGCCAACACAACAATGGGCACATTTGCGGATGATACCGTGATCCTCTCAACCAACATAGATCCAGCAATAGCTATCTTCACTTTGCAAAATCATCTAAATCAAATACAAGTGTGGACAAATACATGGAAAATAAAAATCAACGAAACCAAGTCACTGCAAGTAAACTTCGGTCTAAGAAGAGAACAATGTCCTGCAATTTTCTTTAATAACATACATATACCTGAATCACCCAGCACAAAATACTTAGGTATTCATCTAGACAACCATCTAACCTGGAAGAAACACATTACTAAAAAACACAAACAGATTGATCTAAAAATCAAGGATATGCATTGGTCAATTGGAAGATATTACAGGCTCTCATTAGACAACAAAATCTTACTTTACAAAACAATAATAAAACCAATTTGGTTATATGGAGTGGAAATATGGGGATGTGCTAGCAAAACCAATATTTCCATAATCCAAAGATGTCAGTCAAAGATACTACTGTAGCCGTACCACTGACACCACCAGCTTTATTTGTAATCAATATTTCTTTTTAGGCTAGTCGTCCATTGGAAGCGGAAACCTGCGAACTGCGATTCGGCCGAATCTGTGCGAGTCTGTTCGTCCGAATTCGTGCGTTCATTGCGCGTCCTTTGGATGCGTGTTCGGCCGATGCCATTCACGTTGTCATGGCGCTGTCTGAAGATTTATGTGATCTGTACGCGTTAGATACTCCTTTACTGGCTAGGTGACGAGCACAGAATAGGAGAAAAGAGTGGATTGGTGAAATTTTATCAAAAAGACAAAACGTTTGATGAATTTTCTCATATATGGAGTGATTTACAAGAGGACGAGTCACAGTATTTTGGTTATTTTCGCATGAAGCAAGATACATTTGAATACACATTAAGCTAAGTATATCAGTTGAAGTAGTACAGTAACTTCCGAGAAACTATTTCACCTGAAGAACGTAACGTTAAGTTCAGGATTTGATAAGAGTTTGAGAAAACAAAATATTACATCGATGTTATATTATTCTTGCTTCTTATTGACTACATACAAACCGTTCTTTCTACAAAGGAGCGAAATTACTATAATACACAGCGGCATTGTTCTGGTCTGTTACTAATTCATTGCTGTGGGAACTATTATGGGAAATGCAAGTCGATTCAAAGGATAGAGGCGAAACATTGACGTGGACATCACACTGCTGTTTCGATCCTCCTGTTCCTGCAGTAAAACATCCATCAATTTCACGCGTAATCGCAGCTGTCTTTCTTCAGGCAAGCTCATCAGAAATTGATAGTCACTATCCTGCTTCATTTGAGAGCTCTTTTGGAAGTAACTCAACTTTTTAGATTCTATTTCAAAGAATTTGTCATCGTAATTAATTCTTTTCTTTCCTCTTTTTAGCGGACTTTTGAAATGCTCTTTTTGTGCCGGAGACGTATTTACAGGTGCATCATTCTCGATATCTGATTGAAAATCTGGAGTAGAAAATGCATCATTATATTCACTTTGTGTTGTAATATTATCAGTGCCTGTCTCAATACAGGCGTCCGCAATGTCAGGAACACTACTCGACAGATTTCTCGGTTGAACAGTATCAGTTCGTAGGTGGTGAACGCAGCTCTTCGTCCGAAAAATCCAAACCAATCTGGATATTTCGCAGTT